TTGAGCCACCGCGCCCGGCCCCTTTAGGTCTTTTTTAAAGTAACATGCCATATTTGTTGTGGTATTTATATATTTCTTAACAAGTTAACATGTGTAAAACTGTGTCACCATTTTTTTCTTGGGGGTTCTATCTTTTTTTAGATAGGACCATTTTTAAGGGTCAACATTTTTAGTATTGTGCCCTATTCCCTTTTTCCCATAAGCCTGGTGGCTTTTGTTACCTGATTTTATATAGTACTTTGATTTTTTGGGAGTGCATATGTCACTTTATAGCAGAACTGACTATATTTTCCTTACTGAAATGTCCTTGTTTCATAATCACGTGATACTATTTTCGTAACACAATACTTTCTCTTACCTCTCTGGCTATATGAGATATATTAAAAGTTCTATTCTGATTGCTTCATTAATTTTGCTTTTTAGGGATAAGTCTATATTGGCTGAATTTGTTTTTTCTCTTTTATCATGGGGTTCATCTCAAAGTTTGGTTATTCTTAATTGTGTATTCGTCTTTGTTGAGCTATCTTTATGACTGCCTGCCACCTCTGTTTGTGCTGGGAGAGGCAGGGATGAGCAAGCCCGGTTGCACTATGACACTGTTTTTCATTAGGTTGTTTGGCGGTGGGGGGGTTCCAACTCACTTGGAGGTTTCAAAAACATCGAAGTAATATTTCAGCCAGGGCACTCCATTACATGTAAATCTTTGTTTTGGTTTTCTATGGCTGCTATAACAAATTATCACAAATTTAGCAGCTTAAAATATAAATGTATTATCTCACAATTCTGTAGGTCAGAAATCTGGGTGAATTCAGTTGGTTTTCCTGCTTCAGGTATTACAAAGCTAAAGCCAAGGTGTCAGCCAGTGGGGCTCTTATCTGCAGGCTCTGGAAATAAATCTGTTTCAAGCTCATTCAGGTTGTTGGTTGAATTCAGTTTCTTGTGATTGTAGGACTGAGGTCTCCATTTTCTTGCTGGCTGTTGGCTGGAAGTCATGCTCCCAGTCATTCAAAAGACCACCACATTCCCTGGCTCACAGCCCCATTCATCCATCTTCAAAGCCAACGTTGGTAGGTCATATCCTTCTCATGTTTCGTATCTCTCTAACCTAATCTCCCTTCACCTCTTCTTCCTGTTGTATCTCTCTAACCTACTGTTCCTCCTTCCTCTTCTGGTTTTAAGGGCGCATACACTGACATGTGGCCAGCCTGAATAATCCAGGATAGTCTCACTATTTTAAAGTCAATTGATTAGTAACCTTAATTATGTCAGCAAAGCCCCTTCATACCAGTGCCTAGATTAGGGTTTGATTGAATAACAAGGGAACAGAAATCTTGAGGGCACATCTTTGAAATTCTGCCTACCAAAATCTCAGTATTTGTGTCCATTTTGTTTACGGTATACAGAAATTTTTTAGGAACTTATCAAATTGTTTCTTGAACTAGATATGTGAGTTTATATCCTACTAAGATGGCAAACTCAGATATATTTAGCTAAGTGCTGGCTCTCTCCCCCAAAATTAACCCTGGAGAAGTTACAGAAACATGTGCTACAGAAGGAAAAAAAAAACATAAGAGAAACCACTGAACTTAGTCTTGAATCAATGTATATGACAGAGGTCTGAGGAGGCAGAGTGCATTGGAAGAAACAGTAGGAGGACAGGTTGGAGAACAACTTTCCATGTTCCATTCTTGCCTCTCTCTCTAAATGCCTTGAGATCATCATGTCTAACCCTTCTTTACAGATATTGGTGAGTATAGCTTAGGCCACGGTGATGTTCATACTGTAGTGACCAAACAGGAGGAAATCACCCTTCCAGTCTCTTTCTCTCCACACTCCTACTGTATTATGACATATCTTGATACAGACTAGAGTCACACATATTACCTGAAAGAGTAGTTGATAATTCCAGAGGAAGAAAAAAAACCCTCAGCCAAAGTAATTACTTCCCTAAGTACAACAATAAAAGAAAGACGACAGATGAAACAACATGTTTCATCTAAAGGTAGGCCGAGAAATTTAAATAAGCATGATAAAAATGCTTAAGGATATCAGGGACTCAGAGCTACCTCATTGCACAACTCCTGAGGCACCAGTCACACTGCATTCCCAGAGAATGATGCCTTTGAGTTGTACAGTGTGGTAGCCCTGTAAGTGATGATATTGCTAATATGATATAAAAATAAGAAGCAAGAAAAACAGAATCAACCAGAAATATTATGTATAAAAATAATATTTTAAGTAACAAAAACAATAGATGTGATAAAGAGTTGGATGCTTACTACTGAAGAACAAATTAGTAAATTGGAAGATCAGATTAGACATATTTAACAATTTGATAAAGCAACAGAGAAAAATAGAGCTTTAAACTACAAAGAAAGAACTAAAGATACAGAAGTAAAGCAATAGAATCTTAATAGGAGGGCCAGAAGGAAAAAAAACTATATATATGTATATGTATAAACGCATATATATACATATACATATATAATAAAATATGGGAATAAATATTTCAAAAAACAATGACTAGAGAAATCTGGTAGAACCACCTTAATCAAGTGATCAAAGTCATCACCAACAACAGACAAGACAACACTACATGTATATTCCCAGCTCTAACTAAAAGATAAGGTAGTTGAGTTATATTTAGGAGACTGGACACTTCCTGATTAACTGCCTGGACTCTGGAGTCAGACTGACCAGATTTGAATCCTAGACCTGCCACATACAAATTGTGTGTGATTTCCTATAAGTTATTTTACCATTTGCATCATGGCCTTTGGGGTTGTTTCTAATGTTCCAAAAAATAGGAGGAACAAAAGTTAATTTGTATCATTCATATCACATTTTGCATTGCAAAGAAAGAAACCATTCAAACATTCAGGTTGCAAAGTGTGAAGGACCCACAATCCATTTCACAGAGTTCCAGGACAGCAGACCTAACAGAACCACAAGGGCTTCCTACCTTCTTCCACACATAAGGGCTTAGAAGTCATCACTGCCATTCTCATAAGAAAAAAAGCTGAACAAAATGAAAACCAACAACCCCTTTTAGAGTCATCAGAGAACAGACATCACGGGGCAAACTGCTGGTTCAGAAGCTGGAAAGAGAAGAGGATGCTAAGAATCTCAGCTTAGCAGGAGCAGAAGTCCAGGAGCAGGAGCCCTCAACTGGAGCCAGTGCTGGTAGGAGCACTCGAACTGCAATTGATAAACTTCTGGAGACTCAGTGTGAACTTGCAGGAGAGTTAAAACTCTGGAAGCTCAGTCTTGGCGTGGGGAGGACATTTTCATGAGTTTCACCTCCAGGAGTTCCTCTAGGTTCTCACAGTGAAGATCAGGGAAAAGTTCCTTATACTTCAGTCAGGGGAAGGGAAAAAGTAGCAATTTGAAATATAGCTGACCTTGAACAACACAGGTTTGAACTGCAAGGGTTCACTTATATACAGATTTTCTTCCTCCTCTACTACCCCTGAGACAGCAAGACCAACCCTTCTCTATTAGCCTGTTCTCATACTGTTATAAAGAACTACCTGAGAGTGGGTAATTTATGAAGAAAAGAGGTTTAATTGACATAGTTGCATAGGCTGTACAGAAGCATGGCTGGAAGGCCTCAGGAAATTTACAGTCATGGTGGAAAGTGAAGGGGAAGCAACCACATTTTCCAAGAGTGAGGGGAGAAGTGACACACTTTAAAACCACCAGATCTCATGAGAACTCACTCACTATCCCGAGAAGAGCAAGGAGGAAATCTGCCCCCATGATCCAGTCACCTCCCACCAGGCCCCTCCTCCAACATCCGGGGATTACAGTTTGAGATGAGATTTGGGTGGGTACACAAACCATATCACCATCCTGTTTCCCCTCCTTGGTCTGCTAAACATGAAGCCTTAGAGAATGAAGACTTTTTTATGATGATCCACTCCCAGTTTTCTTTCTACTATTATTATTATTATCATTATTGAGACAGGGTCTTGCTTTATTGCCCAGGCTGGAGTGCAATGGCGCTGATCACAGCTCACTGCAGCCTTGACCTCCGAGCCTCAATCAATCCTCCTGCCTCAGCCTCCTGAGTAGCTGAGACTATAGGCACACACCATCACATCCAGCTAATTTTTGTATTTTTTGTAGAGACAGGGTTTCACCATGTTGCTGAGGCTGGTCTTGAACTCCTGGGATCTAGCAATCCACCTGCCTTGGTCTCCCAAAGTGCTGGGATCACAGGTGTCAGCCACTGTACCTAGCAGTGATTTTCTTAATAATGTTTTCTCATCTCTATCTTATTTTATTGTAAGAATATAGCATATAATACATATAATGTACAAAATATTTGTTACTCAACTGTTTATGTTATCAGTCTGGCTTCCATTCAACAGTAACCTATTAGTAGTTAAGTTGTGGAGGAGTCAAAACTTATGCTTGAATTTTTGACTGTGCAGGGGGAAGAGGGCTGTCAGTGCCCCTAAGCAAGAATCAACCGTATGCCCAGGAGATTCTGTTCTCCTTAACAAAACCCTGCCCTCAAGGAAAACTACCTTACCAGAGCCCAGCCCATTTACCAGAGTCTAATCAACCTGAGGGAAGGGAAATACCCAACTCCAGCCCCCTCTCGCCTTCCTGTCTTGCCTGAAGGGGAAAGGGAGGGCGAAGGGGCGCTGAGAAGACAGCACAGGGGCACAGGCTCACTAGAAGGCCAAGGCTTAATCCTAAACAGATAGAACACCTCCCCTCCCCGACACCTTCCCATCACATCAGCAGGGCTCCTATATAGGAGACTGCAGATGAAAGAATTACAAGCCTCAGACCCTATTTAGGAAAAAGTCCCTGAGGAAACCCAAAGACAATAGGAGAGACAAAAATAAGATTATTAGAGATTATTTTAACCTCTGACACTTCCAACTAGAAGCAAACAACAAACATAGCCAACTTCTAGCCAGGGTTTCATAAAATCGAAAGTCCCAGTTCCTACCTCAGTTCATAAAACCGAAAGTCCCAGTTCCTACCTCAGTTCCTTGTACCGATACATCATAACTGGGTATCATCAAAAAAATTACAAGGCATGTTAAAAAGCAAAAAAAAAACACAGTCAGAAGAGACAAATTAGTCTCCCCGAGCATTTGGGGAACAGAGTTTTTAAGGACAACTTGGTGGGTGGGAGGAAGCCAGTGAGCCAGGAGTGCTGATTGGCCAGGGATGAAATCAGAGTCGAAGCTCTTTTCTTGTGCTAATTCAGTTCCCAGGTGGGGCCATAAGATCAGATGAGTCAGTTTACCAATCTTGGTGGTGCCAGCTGATCCATCAAGTGCAGGGTCTGCAAAATATCTCAAGCACTGATCTTAGGAGCAGCTTAGGGAGGGTCAGAATCTTGTAGTCTCCAGCTGCATGACTCCTAAACCATAATTTCTAATCTTGTGGCTAATGTTAGTCCTATAAAGGCAATCTAGTCCCCAGGCAAGAAGGAGATCTGCTTTGGGAAAGGGCTGTTACCATCTTTATCTTACACTATAAACTAAGTTTCTTCTAAAGTTAATTCAGCCTATGCCCAGGAACAAACAAGGACAGCTTGGAGGTTAGAAGCAAGAGGAAGTCGATTAAGTTAGATCTCTTTCACTGTCTGAGTCATAATTTTGCAAAGACAGTTTCAGTTTTGGAGCTATTTATGAAATGCTGATGGTTGCCAACAATTGAACAGTATTCTTTTCCTATGGACTTCATGATCTAAATTGTTAAGCTTTCTCAGAGGTGGATAACAGTATAGGAGAGGCCGTAATGGCATTCAATTAGACTTTTTAGAAAAAAATTAGCAGTCCAAAATTAACAGAAACAAATTTTTCTTTACCAATAATAAACAACATTTCCTTTATAGAAAACATTAATGAAATACAGATGCCAAAATATGTTCAGGTACCTTCTAACAAATTTTCAACTGTTATAATCACAGATTAATCATAGATTATTATCACTCTGGGTTCCCCTGCAGTTTTAAAATAAACCTTTAACTCTTCCTCCTAATTACTGGTGCTTCACGGTTTGAAAATCCGAGCCTTGAAAACATTCCTAGAAGGCTTTTTGAGATGTAATTTTTTAATTACATATTTTTTTATCATAAATAGAATGGTTTTGAATACATCTAGAAAACATATGAAGACATTAAGAAGACTTAAATCATCTGTTTTTATTGACTTTTGACAATCAGACATTCCTACTCAGTTATGCGAGCTTAGTTCTTGCCTACAACCTGATCAGCTGCATTTTTCTGCAAGAAAAAGAAACTGGATTTTGCTCCACAACCCTGTCTTTCTCCTGCAGCCTAGATTATGCTGGAGTCACAATAGAGTCACGATGCATAACCATAGGCATCATGCCTCCCTTTCTTATAAGAAGGCACCAAAGTTAACTTTTCAAAAGGTTAAAAATGTAATTTATGCATAAGGTAGAGAATGAATGCATGTCAAAAAAAATTTCTACTCATTAATAAGAGAACTAGCAAGATGACAAAACTGGCTCAAGGAACATTTGAGGAAATGGGTATTTATAGGTATTTGAGAAAAGAATGTTAGTGACTACTTTTTTTTTTTTTTTTTTTATACAGAGCTCGCTCTGTCACCCAGGCTAGAGTGCAGTGGCATGATCTTGGCTCAGTGCAACCTCCACCTTCCAGGTTCAAGCAATTCTCCTGCCTCAACCTCCCAAGTAGTGGGGATTACAGGCATCATGTACCACCACACTCGGCTAATTTTTTGTATTTGTAGTAAAGACAGTGTTTCACCATGTTGGCCAAGCTGGTCTCAAACTCTTGACCTTAGGTTCTCTGCCCATCTTGGCCTCCCAAAGTGCTAGGATTACAGGTGTGAGCCACTGCACCCAGGCAGTGACTATTATTTATAATGTAGTAACTTGGATGGGATCTTGGAACAGAAAAAGGACATTAGGAAATCTGAATAAAGTACGGGCTTTAGTTAATAATAATATATCAATGCTCGTCAATTGTGACAAATGCACCATATTAACATAAGTTTAATATTAGGAAAAAGTGGGGAAGAGACAAGTAACCCTCTGTACTGTAAGAGTTAAAGAAAGAAGAAAGAAACATGAAACATGGATTAACAGTCAAAGATAGGTTTATTTTTGTGGAATAAACCTGAGAGGGGCTTCTGGTCAGTTTCAGTCAGGACCACTCTCTCTTACAGACTAAGAGTATATATCGGTTTTAGGGTGAGGGGGTTTATCACAAGCTTGGAATGTGTCTGTGTAGGGAAGAAGTTTATGGCGGGTTGGAATGCCTCTGGGTGGAGGGAACGTTATCTTTGGGGCTGACATCTTTCTGACCAGTGGGAAGGTTGTCTCAGGGCAGGCACACATCTCTGGTCAGGGAGGGATTTGGAATGTTTCTGGTCAGAGATGTCATTTGTGGTTTACGGTTATGCCGACCTTAGCCATTAGGCTGATCCCCTTTGGATTTAGGCAGTTTTTGATCAAGGTAAACTTAAAATGACAGTGCTTGTCCAAGATGGCGATACTCTTGCTCTGTCATGTACTATCTTCGAAAATTTTGTAAATCTAAAACTGTTTTAGATTTACAAAAAAACTGTTCCAAAGTTTTAAAGATTTTATTTTAAAGTTTTAAAGATTTTATTTTAAAAAATGAAAAAAATGTTAGTATAAGAGCTCTAGGTTATATAAAATGGGTTACTGTCCTGCAACACACTAAAGCAGTAATTACAACCTTTTAGGTTACCTTTTCTACTAGACAGAATTGATTTGCATCACTGCCAGACAAATAACTCACAATAGCATGTAACTTCGCAGACATGGGTGCTTTAATCATTAATAGATCGCAAGACAAACAAGAACATTGCCCTAAATATTTAAATAATTTTCAGATAGACCTGTTCAACAATGCTCCAAAGTGACATTGGAAGGACACACCTGCCTCCTTGAGCGTTATTCCTAAGTTTTGAATATAAAATGAGCTTTAAAAAAAAAAAAATCTCCCAATAGTTTGCCTTCTGAATATATTTAGACATTCTAAAATAGCAGACAATTCAACTTTAACCTAACTTTTTCTATGTAGTGAGATATTGCCGAAGCCTGGGAAGCAGGTTTTTCAATAGGGGTGCCAGGTTTAGCAAATAAAAATACCGGATGCTCTGGTAATTTTGGATTTCAGATAAAGAACAAATAATATAATGTAAATGTAATAAACAATAATTTTTAGTATAAGTGGGTCCCAAATATCACATAGCTTCATATTATTATTTCTTTGGGCTCGCCCAGTACTAATACTCTATGAAACATTCCCTTAGCAACAAATCACAAAGATAGCAGACACATTTTTTTCTACATGAACTTTGAATCCATTCATATTTTCAGCTTCTTATGTTCTCTACAAACACAAAACTATGTTTGAATACTGTACTCCATTTGCTTTGCTACATAAGCAATTTAAAATGTCACAGAGGATCTCAGGGTTAGACAATACAGGAAGACAATGAGATATCTTTGTAGCCTTACAACAGCTGGGGTTTGGCTCTTAGTGAGACAAAGGTAATCCCAATTATTCACCGTGTTCCTGACCTTCCCAAGGCAAGGATTTGAATAAGGCCCTATTGTTCATACTGACCTAATTCAAAGTTCTTTGCAGCTTACCTTGTGCTAATCACTGGCAAGTGGTCTCCAGCTGCTCTTTGGTTTTGGTTGTTTCACGTCCTTGATCCTACACGGTAGTGGGAAGATTTCCTCATCATTTTTGATACGACAAATTCTACTTCAGTTTTTTTTCTCAGGCATAACTGAGAACCTATAACCGTAACTGTATTTTACTCTTTCTCTGTTTAATAAGAGTGACAAAAACCATGGTAGACATTTTTTTCTACACTGAAAATAGAAGTCAAATGTGTACACTGTTCTCCAAAATAAAAGCATATCTCAGAATTTCACCTCATTCAGATCAATGTATTTGTGAACTCTTGTCTCACGTCTAGAACCTTCTTAAGTTGAGCCAATGAGAAAACAAGCTCAATAGTCAGTGATGGATCCATCTCAGAAGAGCAGAAATCCACCTACCTGTTGTTCTCCCCAGTGACTGACCACAGCTACACCAAGAAGCAGATCTGAACCACCATTCCATTCTCCTCTTCTCCCGGGGCCATGCTCCCTCAGACACTGGGAAAATGCAAAGTGTAGAGACCATGATTTCAACTTTGAGTAGAGTAAAATAGTGCCCCTTCTAGAACTCAGGGTTTTTATTCCATTCCCATCTCAGGTGGTGGATCCTAATTAACCCAACTATCAGAATTTGTTTTTTTTTCCAGACCCTAAGTGAATTACTAAACGATGTACTCAGGCAGAGAGAAAGGGGCTCAAGACAGGTGCTCTGAAGGGTATGAAGAACAAAGAAGAAAGAAAGAGATCATCTGTAGCTGATTGTCCATGAATATTGATTAGGTAATACTATGTAAATTGGTAAGACTAATGTCTAACCAAGGCTGGTTGTGGTGGCTCATGCCTGTAATCCCAGCACTTTGGGAGGCTGAGGTGGGCGGATCACTTGAGGTCAGAAGTTCGAGACCAGGCAGGCCAACATGGCAAAACCCCACTTCTACTAAAAATACAAACATTAGCCAGGCACCCAACTCACGGCAACCATGAGTTCTAACAAATTGTCAAGAAAGGATATTTGTGGTATTACACAAACTCTTCTAGAGATTTATAAATGAGGAAGGGGGCACAATCCCCAAGTCTTTAAATAATTTTTCATGACACTAGCATAACCTCAACACAAAACTCAGTGAAGATAGTGCAAGAAAGGAAAGTTTGATGCCAATTTCATTCTTGAACATAGATAAAAAAATCCTGAAAAACAAAATTAACAGACGGAATTCATTAATATATTAAAAATATGTAAATATGGCCAGGCACAGTAACTCATGCTTCTAGTCCCAGCTACTTGGGAGGCTGAAGTGGGAAGATCAAGTGAGCCCCAGAGGTCGAGGCTGCAGTGAGCTGTAATCATGCCACTGCACTCCAGCTTGGGCAACAGAACAAAACTCTGTCTCAAAATAAAATGAGAGAAAATAAATATATAAAAATTAAACTAGGGTTATCCCAGGAATTGAAGGTCGATTTAACATTGCAAAATTCATGTAAACACTAACAGGTTAAAGAAGAAAAATGTCAATAAATAAATACAGAAAAACAGCTTTGATCAAAATCAAAATCAATCTCTCTTTCTCTTTTTTTTTTCTTTTTGAGACAGTCTCACTCTGTTGCCCAGGCTAGA